TAAGGAATTTTATTTTTTTGTCTTTGCGTAGAATATAGAATTAAAGTGTGTTATAAGACTTTCTCCTTTTTTAAATAATATTCTTTTTTTAAAAAATATGATATAAATCATCTTATATGATATTATATTATTTTATATCTATAATATTATCTGTAAATATATCAAAAAAATATTAAAACAAAAAATAAATATATTTTAATAATTGTGTAGATTTTTTGCACGTGAATGAATAAAGAATATATAAAAAATTAATATATAAAAAATATATAAAAAAAAAATCAAATTCATTTTTTTAAATGAAATATATTTTTTGATGTGTTAATTAATACAATTTAATGCTTTTTATAAAAAATTTTAAACAATATAGAAATATATTTTTTTTGAAATCAATCAGTTTTTGATTATTTTTCGCTACAATTATTATTATATACATTAATGTAAATCAAGATGATCAGTCCACTATTTGTGAATATATAATATCTACATTTTTATTATGTATTTATATTTCATCATACATACATTTATATTAATTTATTATAATTTACATTATAATATATATTGTTAGTATTTTAAATATTAATATTTTGATTTTCTGAAAAATTAATTATTATTTATTTGAAAAAATTAATTTATAATTTGAAAAAAATTATTTTTTAAGAAATATAACGAAAACACAATATACATAATTTTGTATGAATTTGATTATATTTTTTTAATTTAAAAAAAATTAAAAAAAAATGAAATTAAAACAAAACTGAATCGAGCAAAATAAATATGAAAATAAAAATAAATATATATTTATTATTTATTATTTATTCTGATATATCTTTTATAATATATTTTCTTATTAATATATCTTCAATATTGATTATTTCATTTAAATTATAAATATAATTGATATTAACTGTAGGAAGCGCAGACAAAGAGAAGCAGCTGGAAACTGTAGGAAACGTGGCGAAAAAATTGCAAGACATATAAACAGCGTGTCTTACATCGATAAAGTTGCACGAATAGTATTTCCTGCTTCTTTTGGACTACTCAACGTTTGTTATTGGGTCATTTACGTCACCTATCAAGAAGAATTTAAATGGCAAGATCCTCCGCTTGGATCAATTTCTCAATGATTTAATTAATTAAAATAGCAATGTCTATGATATTTATGCATACATATTATAATATAAAAATTGAAAAATATATTATCATTTCAAAAATAAAAAACACAAATTATGTTAAATTATAGAATACTACTTTCTTTTTATTTAGTATTATTTAATCTTACTATATTTTATTTTTAAATATTATATTGAATAATAAGATATGTAATATTTAAAAAGAAAGAAAATTAATAAAATACAATATTATAATATTTCTATTTTTCACAAATTTAGTTATTATTTATATTAAAAAATATTAAATTTTAATATTATTATATATCTATTAATGTAATTTATTTTAATATTATATTTAAAAAAATCTATTTAAATGAATTTTGACATGTACTTAATTATCATTTAATTTTTTAAGAATATATATGATATGTAGAATAAATATGGTGTATTTAAAAAAATATATTAGGAATTAAATGATTATTTATTATTAATTGATTAAAATATATCCTTTTTTTACAATACATATATTATTAATATACATACTGTATTTTAAAATTTCTATGTTCCTTTATAATTTAATATATTTTATTGTATTATAATTTAATATATTTTTATTGTATTTATTAAAATTTTAAAGATGTATGATAAAGATATTTAAAACATATTAAACACATTTATTTATTTCTTATAAAGACTTTTTTAAGACATTTTAGTTACGTTTTAATTTTTCATAAACCGGACATTTGCAAAATATTAATAAGATTTTTTATTTTATTTAGAAAACATTATTATTAGTTAAAGATTCATAACAAAAGAAGTTTATATTTTACATATTTTAAATAATATTGTTAAATAACATTGTGTATATATATATACATTCGTATATATGAGTTCAATTCAATTAAAAAAAAATTATGTTATATATAAAATTAAAGAAAAATTTTTTTTGTAATAAAAATTCATGAATACGTAAATAATGGATTATTTATAAGAAACAATTTAAAATAGCATTTTTATTGAAATATCATTTCGAGAAACGCTAACACTAACTCTAGAAGTTCGTAAAAATTGAAATGAACTTTAATTCTTAACTTTAATTTAATTTATTTTATTTTACTTTACAAATCATGTTTGTTTTATGATAAAAATGTTAAAAAACATTTTTTTTTTAAGAGCATCATTAATATAATGCTATCAAATCAATTTAAAAGAACAAATTAACTAACATTATTATAAAAAAAAATTTTTTTAATTATTAATTGAAAGATTAAAATTTCAGCAATTTCTTTTTTCATTTTTTTAAAAATTTTGTAAGTTTGCTAAAAGATAGAATAAGAATTGAACAATGTAAAATATTCAGATTATAGATTTTATTTTTATTTTGTTATAAAAAACATCTTAAGGCAAAATTATATTTAAAATATGAACATTGTATGTGTAACAATAATAGATTTTATAGATTGAATTTAATTCCTTAATTTTTTGCCGAAACAAAAATTTTTTCATATAAAATTTATGCTCTATAAAAATGATTTTTATTTTTAATAAAAGCGAAATAGTTCGATAAAACACATAAAAGTAACAATGCTGTTCAATGATGGTAATTATACATTGTCATTCCAATATGGTAAATAGCGAACAAAATGATTGCCATTGAGCATCACTATTATAAATGTATGTTAAACTAACATTTTTCAAACTATTTCGTTTCTAAATCAAACATAAAAATATTTTTAGCTTTTTTTAATTTTTTTTTTTTAGCAGAAAGATCTATTTTATTGCATATTATGATTAGATTTTTTCCTAGATTTTTAGTTTTTGAAATAAATTGAAAAATATTATCAACAAAAACAAATATATTTTAGCTATTTTTTTATTTAATATGTTTAAATATTTATAATCTAATAATTTATATAATTTTATTTGGAAGAATTCATAGAATCATTTCAATTGAATAAGTGAAATATTATAATATATTGAAATATTTTTAATATTAAAAATTTGTAATTTTTTTTAAAATTGAATTACTTTTCAAAAACTAGTGATTTTAATGGAAAATGATTTTATTGATTCGTATTTAAGACATTAAAATATTTATAAAAAATACTTATTGAAAATTATAAAATCAGATACGTTACGTTATCTAATTTGAAAAAAAACAAAATATATGGAATAAATATTTCGTTTCTTAGAAGATAACGAATTGTAACATTAATTGTCAAAAAATAATTTTTCTAATAAAAAATTAAGATTATCTTGACTTTTTCTTAAATGAATTATATTCTTGATTTTAACATTATAATTGATATCAAGACGACTTCTTTAAATTTAATAATTTTTATATATTTTTAAATGATTTTAATAACTTAAAAATCTGAATTAGATTCAGATTTAAAAATAATGCAAAATTTAATTTTATAAAATATTATATAAAATAATATTAAATTTATATCATTAAATTCATATATTGATTAATTACAATGTATCAACTACATTAAAATCATAAATAATATATATTTTAAAAATTCAAATCGATACATTTTTTTTAGATTTCACATCAAAAATAGCTATAGAATTCAATATTAAA